AGAGGGAGGAAGAAAGAGCAGGAGATTAACGAGAAACAGAAGGAAGGAAGAGACGAGGAAAGACAAGTGGGCCAAAGGCATGAGGCAAACAAAAACAGCAAAGGATGATGAGAAGCCAAATTTGTCTTGCATTGCTTTTCGGCCAAAAATTTGAGGATTGTATAACCCATTTTTACAAAATAACAAAAAACGGATAAAAACCGTTTCGAAGCAAAATGATAAAAAAAAATCTACCGATTCCTCGAGATGCTGTAGCATTTGCCGTGCTTTTTCAGCTTCAGAAACATCACACAACTTCTCAGGCTTCATGGCTACTTCCTACAACAGTACGGGAAATAGGCTTCAAAATTCAAAATCACAAACACTTGCCACGAAAACCACATTTCAAAACACATATGTTCATTAAACAGGTAATCTAGCAAAGGAGAAATTAACTAAAAAAAATCTAATAGAATTTTATCATGTTAACTTCGAGTCAGCCCCGATTTACAGTTCAGCCTCCCTCCTCTTTCCTCACCCCTTCCTCATACTCATTTTCATCCCTTGATTCACCCATTTAGTTCATATCCCTGCTGGGGCGGAGTTTTAAAGTTTTTCTAATTTAGCAGAATTGCTAATTGGCTTATCACAGATTTCAACAACACTAATTGTGTTACTGGTTGCTGCTCAAATAAGAAATCAAAAGAAGCGATTAAACGCTTCCAGGCAACACTTTGGTACCAACATTTATTTGTTTATCCAAACAAAATATCAACAAAACAACAATTTTTGAATAAGAAAATTTGAAGAGAGATCGGTTTACAGACTGATAACTGTTTTGCTATGAAAAAAAAAGAGCCTTTTTCTATTAAATGAGGTCCTTTGCTTTTCGCTTGTACTCAATGGCAGCCTAACAGAATGATAAGGAGCGTAAACCCCTCCGGATGCTGATTTTTGAGGGGGTAGTTTTCCAGAAAGAAGATAGAAAAGCGATCTCATTTTTTACATATTTAAGAAATCAATAAAAATTAAGTTTTAATAAAGCTGAAGGAATTCTCTCTCATCTGTAAGCACATAACCGTGAAGAGATGCAATCAGCCCCCAAAATTCAACATCGATAAAATCATTTTCGTATCTTCAAAATCGATGCCCAATTCGGCAAAAGCACAAAAACAACTGTGAATGATTCTCAGGAAACTAGCAAGGAAAATACAACAGTATACGGCGAATGAAAATGACAAGAAATTATGGGAATTCTGGCAAATTTCCAATGATACGAAAAGCATTTGATAGTACTGGCGATAATACCCCAAAAAATGATAATTCTCATGTTTCATCCCATCCAAATTACACATAGAAAATTGTAGATCCCACATTCCTGTATCCCTACAGCTTTTTTCTTTTTTTTTTTGATAAATTTTTGACCACTCACTATTTGCGCTAACAACCGATGACTTCAAATATAGTAGAAGTTGGGTTATACAGCATTTGGGTCTGGAAAAATCACCTCATCATGGTCTAGAAGTGGTAATGATTGAGGCGAAGTGGTGATGCTCAAGATAAAGCCACACATACATATACAGACACAAATACATACACAGACACACATACATACGCAGACACACATATATATAGGGTGATACCCAAGGTGGTATTGATTGAGGCGAAGTGGTGATGCTAAAGACAGAGACACACATACATACGCAGACACACATACATACAGGGTCACGAAAACATCAGATTACAGGTAACATGCCCTCACCTGTACCTGGTAACGGGCAGAGGCACACATGCACACAGACATGCATACAGGGCAGGGGCGGGAGGGGAGGAGCCTTGTAACTAGTCCCTTTACGATTCGTTCGATGGTAAACTGGTACTGTCTGGGCCCTCTAACTATCGGTCCAAATCAGTTTGGTCACTTTCGGCCGTAAATTTGGAAAAAACAGGCCAATGTAAAGCTAGAAAGTGAGCAAGCTAGGAGTGACTGTGGCTTTTCTCCAGCCCTTTTCGTTGAATCAACAAAAAAAAAAACGTCCATTTAGCGATTTTTTGAGAAAACTGAATAAAATTTGATCCCCCAGGATATCAGAATCCAAACATTTATGTTTTTTTGGCTCACAACGTAGGATATATTTCAAATATCTGGGGCAGCTTTTGACTGATACTCTAGTTCTCTACCTATGCAGTCGGTAGCTGTGGAAATAATGAAGCATCTAACACAAATAATCATGAAATTGCAAACATTTAAAACGATTCCAATGCAGAAATGAGCGATTTTGCTTGACAACCAGAAAAAATGCTAAAATTAAAATGACTACTCTAAAATACAACTTTTTTCATTAGCAAATAAATGTTTGAGTCAAGTTCAAAGCCATGCAAATTGTTCGCATCTCCTTTCAACCTCATCAGCAGGCCACCAAACGAGGCATATGCAGCTAGCGTATTGGTCTCCGAATTTGATTCTTCACCTTCGATACGATATACTTTCCCGAACATTACATATTCAAACGGGTCCAGCCGTGGATAATGTGTCTGAAAATATGCATTTTTGAATTATTTGTATTTTTTTTTTTTTGATATTTTCGCTAAATTTATTTCGATAACACAAAAAATGGAGTTAAAAAACGCAAAATTACCTTACTTTCAAGCAAACTCGGGTGGGGGTACCATTGGCATTCTCCCAAGCAAGTGCTTGTTGCTGGCTTGCTAGCTCTACCCCGATTTTTTATCATAAATTTTACATTGTTTATATATATCAAAATTAATATCTCTATTATTACTCACTTTAAAAGGTGCTCCTATCTCTCAGAG